ATCAGCGCATCGACCTGGTTCAAGAACAATTGGATATTTTATGGCAATTGGCGCAGTTAGGATGTGAATATAAAATGCCTGGACTTTGTGTTACATCAATACAATATGAAAATTTTATTAGAGCGGCTAATTTGTCCAAAAGTCTTTCTCAGTTCATTTTACAGAATTGGACATTCGAATTTGAACAGATACTGCAGGACTTGAGAACAGCGATCCACCAGAATTGATGTCTCCCTACAAGAAGGACTGTCGTCATGGATCTCTTCTGTCTTCTCTTATTTCAAGGAATGGGTGGGGGTGGGACTCTTCGGGATGTTTCTCTGCTTCGGGATGTTTCTCTGCTTCGGAATGGCAATTTTATTCTTTTTGTTTTGCAAAGTGTTCAAAAAGGCAAAAACAGATAAAGTCATGATTACACAGGCACTCGCGGCTCTAGAGTATGGGGCCTCGGCGGAGGTCTGGCTCACCATGTTAAAGCGTGGAGAATAGCCTTTGATTATCCCCATTTCATTCTGGCTTTCCCTGTCACCTTGGCAGACTCCGGCTATATTTCTCTGCCCCTGCTTCAATAGATCAGCCTTTGCACCTCTGAGTCCGAAATGTTTTGGACATTTGCACCAGAGAAGGTGATCATTGATATTGCAGCCTTTGCACTCCGCTGAGCTCGTCTCATTGCACGCGGAAAGGTGCTATATGGGGTATATTCATCTGTTTCGAACCCTGATGGGCTGCAGAGCCTGACGGTGATCAACGGATGTAGGCCATTCATCTGGTTTCTGTCTCTGGTGACGAGGTGGCCATTAGCTGTCGGCAGAACAGCCCTTGCACCCTCAGCGACTTTGTTGCATTGCACGAGGATGGGTGTTTTAGCCTATGCAGCCCAGTTGGGACACTTTTGTGTGCTTTTATTAAAATAAAAAGGGGGAGATGTTGGGCGCTGCCCTGGAACCACGCCATGGCGAGATGGCGCTGACATCCGCCTGACAGTTGCAATGTCAACCCTGCTGCGCATGAGCAGGAGCTCCCTGCCCACGAGGCCGGGGGGTGCCTGTGCCTTACGTCACCTCGGGTGACATAATTGGACCAGTAATTAACTGCCACGTCCGAGGCGAGAGAAACTCTCTATATAAGGAGAGTCCCGTTAGGGCGTGGGGTCTTCGCTTTGTGATAGCTTATGCTCCTCCTCTCAGGAGCAATAAAGCTTACTGCAGAAGGATCCTGATCGTGTGCCGCGTCATTCTTGCGGGCGAGATAGAGCGCGGGACATGTATGTATTTGTGTGTGTATACTGTTTATATATATAGTTATATGTAACTATACGTGGTTATATATAGATAAAGATAAATATTTTTAAATGTAGAAAAACAAAGCAAAAAGGGCACAAAGTTGAACGGAATTGGGGTGGCTCCAGGAGGAGTTAGGATTGTGGGGTAAATATGATCAAAGTACATTGCATACATTTATGAAACTCTCAAAAATTAATAAAAATGCTGTGAACCTTAAAAAGAAATAGTTTAAGGGAGGGGGAATGTTTTGCTTACAGTTTGAGGGATATGGTCCATTGAGGTGGGGACCGCATGGTAACTGTAACTAGAGGCAACTGGTCACACTGCATCCGCAGTAGGGAAGCAGAGAAAAAAATAGAAAGTACGGCCACTGTGTAAGCTCAAGGCCACACCCTCAGCTGTCGTTGGTTTCTTTCCTATCTTTTCTTTTCTTTTTTTTTTTTTTCTCTTTGGCTCTTTGCTCTTTTGAGAGTCTACCACCCAGCTCCCTAATAAATCACACACAGAGGCTTATTCTTAGTTATGAGGCCCAGCCTTCCCTTGGCTTGTTTCTTGCCAGCTTTTCTTAATATCCCATCTGCCTTTTGCCGCTGGGCTTTTTCTTTCCTTACTTCTATATTGCTTACTTTCACTCTTACTCCATGGCTCACTGGGTGGGTGACTGGCCCCTGACTTCCTCCTCTCCTTGCCCTTGCTCTTTCTTCTTCCTCCTCTTCCCAGATTTCTCCTCCTATTTATTCTCTCTGCCTGACAGCCCTGCCTATACTTTCTCCTGCCTGGCTATTGGACATTCAGCTCTTTATTAATAATAATTCTCTGTGTGGTTATTTGGAAGTGACTGTGGGAACACAGAAAAACTCTACCTACATGTGCATGTAGTAGGAAAAAACGTGTATTTAAACCATCTATTTTGCAGTATTTTGCTAAGACTGCTCTCTGAATGAAAGAAGTAAAACTACTTCTTGTCTTTGTTAGCTGCTTTATCTTACTTAACATTATATTCTCAATAATCACCTATGTTGGAACATGTGATAAGATTCCTTTTTTCTGGAGGATGAGAGTTAGAGCATGATATGCATTTATCACATTTCATAGTCATTCACTCATGGAACAACTGGGATGCTTGCACCTCATTGCCGTTGTGAGTAACCATATCGTGAACATGATTTTGGGAATATTTGAGATTCTGATTTCAGGTTGTTTGACTGTATATACCCAGAAGTAGATCAGATGGTAGCTTTATGGGGTTTTTTTTGTTTTGTTTTTGTTTCTGTTTTTGTTTTTTCGAGACAGGGTTTCTCTGTATTGTTTTGGAGACTGTCCTGGAACTAGCTCTGTAGACCAGGCTGGCCTCGAACTCACAGAGATCCGCCTGCCTCTGCCTCCCGAGTGCTGGGATTAAAGGTGTGCACCACCAACGCCCGGCTTTTATGTTTTTTTAAATTAACATTATTTACTTATTTAACATCTTCCTCCTCTCCACCCTGCTTCTGTTTCCACTCCCCAGTCCATTCCCCCTACATTTCTGTTTAGGAAAGGGTACCTCTCCCATGAGGCAAAACAAAGCATGGCAGTAAAACTAAGCACCTCCCCATGTATTAAGGCTGGCAAGGGCCGGGCTGTGGTGGCGCACGCCTTTAATCCCAGCACTTGGGAGGCAGAGGCAGGCAGATCTCTGTGAGTTCGAGGCCGGGCTGGACCGATAGCCTCCGAAACAATACAGAGAAACCCTGTCTCGTAAAAACCAAAAAAAAAAAAAAGGCTGGCAAGGTAACCAAGTATGAGGAGTAGAGTTCCAAAAGACAGTAAAAGAGTTGGAGACAGGCCCTGTCCCCACTGTTAGAGGAGTCCCACAAGATGATCAGGCTACACATGGTCAGTCCCATGCAGGCTCCCTGGTTGTCAGTTCAGTCTCTGTGAGCCCATGTTGTTTGATTCTGTGAGTTTTCTTATGGTGTCCTTGACTCCTCTGGCTCCTACAATCCTTTCTCTCCCTCTTCTGCAGGACTACCCAAACTCTACCCAATGTTTGGCTGTGGGTCTGCATCTGTTTCCATCAGTTGCTAGATGAAGCCTCTCTGATAACATTTGGGTTAGGCACCAATCTGGCCCCAGGAGATGACCAGTTCAGGCTATGTATCTGCTATTGTTAGGAGTCTTAATTAGGGTCCTCCTTGAGATTCCTGGAGATCACCTTGCACCAGGTTTTCGCCTGACCCCAAAATACCCCTCTTTCAGTACTCCCCCTCTTACTCGAACACACAACCTGATGACTTATGTTCCCATCCCTGTCCACCCTCAGTCCACTCGTGAAATCTCTTCTGTTTCCCTTTACAAGGAGATCTGGGCATCCCCCCCACACAGACACACACACTTCCCCTCCTGAGCCCTCCCTGTTACCTAGTCTCTCTGTGTCTGTGGATTGCAACATAGGTAGCCTTTATTTTACAGCTAATATCCACTTATGAGTGAGTATATACCATGTTTGTCTTTCTTGGTCTGGGTTACCTCTCTCAGCAATTTGCCTGCAAATTTCCTGGTGTCCTTGTTTTTTAACATCCGAGTAATACTTCATTGTGTAAATGTATCACATTTTCATTATCCATTCTTCCGTTGAGGGCATCTAGGTTGCTTCCAGGTTCTGAATGTTACAAATAAAGCTGATACAAACATAGCTGAGTTAAGTATGGTATGATGTGCGGTGTGATTGAACATCCTTTGGGTATATGTCCAAGAGTGTTATAGCTGGGTCTTGTGGTAGATTGAGTCCCAGTTTTCTGAGACACGGCCACACTGACTTCTAAAGTGGCTTAATCAATTCATTTTATGTTTGTTTCTACCATGTGTGTGCCTGGTGCCTGGGGAGGTCAGAAAAGGGCAACAGATCCTGAGACTGGAGCTATGGTTATGGAAACTGAACCCAAGATTAGGAAGAACAGACAGTGCTCTTAACCACTGAGTTGTCTCTCAGTTCCAATATCTTAAGTTCTGTGAGGAGTTGTCAAATTGTTTTCTATAATGAGTACACAGTTTATGAGTTCATCAAGAATGAAAAATGAAAAAAAGAATGAAAAATGATTCTAATTTGTCCTATCTTATCAACATTTGTTATTTTTTATTTGTTTGCTTTAGAATAGCCATCCTAATGTGGTTTTCAACTGCATTTCTCTAGAAATCATATGATGCTTTTTAAAAAAAATGCTAGGGGTAGCCGGGCCATGGTGGTGCACGTCTTTAATCCCAGCACTCGGGAGGCAGAGGCAGGCGGATCTCTGTGAGTTCGAGGCCAGGCTGGACCGATAGCCTCCAAAACAATACAAAGAAACCCTGTCTCGTAAAAACCAAAAAAAAAAAAAAAGCTAGGAGTAGGAGCTGGATCAGTGGTGATATATTTATGATTTATTAAAGCTTGCTTGAGGATTGAGAAAGTAAAGACAGCCTCAAGCTATAGACATCAGGTATGGTGATACACACCTGTAATCCCGGCAGAGGTAAGAAGAGCTAGTGGTGGGCTGCTTTGCTTTTCTGGTCTTCAGCTTGAAGCTTGACCCCAATATCAGTCTCTGGGTATTTTATTTATCATCAGTAGGTAAAATGTTTGCTGTGCCATCATGATGTTGCTTAAGATACATACACTGGAAGGAAATACATAAGCAGAAATTATTAAATATATTTGACTAGTAGATGAAGAAAAATGTGACACAATCACATTAGTAGTGTTCTAATCCTTATTTATGTTCATGAATTTTTATTTTATTAAGATGCATCAGTTTAAATGTACACTAAATAGCCTAAGAACGTGATACCAGAATAAACACATACAACAATGCTCCCATTTACTAAGACGCTCAAAAAAGTGTACCCTGCTTTTCTCCCACAGCAGTGAGTCAACACTCCCAAACAAAAACTGGATTTCCTGAAAAACAGGTTAAGTCAATTCACAGGGGGAAACGCTTGTCAGCATGACAATGGTCAGCACTTTTCATGACAGCAAAATCTATATAAACCTTTCTTTCGGGTTTCTGAAACAAGACTATACACAAAGATCTCACTATTACCTCAAACACAAAAATGAATTGTGCACTTATACTCTTTGATCACAAGGAGAAAAAAAATTCAGAAGACTTTCTTGATGGGCACGCTCAGTGTACACGCACCTCGGCCACATCCGTTAATAATACCGATTTATATATAAGTTCTCTAGTCAGCACTGAGCTAATAATCTACGATGGGAAATGTAGCTAATCAGGGCCACCCCACCCCCCAAGTGTTGCTTTAGAATTCATCGCTTTCTCGATTTGGGGCCGTTCATCCAAAGTTCTCAGTAAGAGCAACGAGTTCGTTTCTGAGAAGAGGCCTGTAAGAAAAACAGAAGCGGATACGGAGGGTTAGAAAACGGGTGGGGGTGGGGAGTGGAGCAGGAATCTCCCACGGGAAGGTATGGAAGCAAAACCACAAAAATTTTCCACGCTGAAACTTCCAAAAGAAAATGCATGCCCGGAACACAACTTGCAAAGGTTCATTTTCAGTACATGAGCAATGAAACCCATCTTGGGAGGTCTACGCTTTACGAAAAGGAAAAGACAGCAGCGAGCCCTCGCGCTTTCGGCGGAGCCTCCGTAAAGATGGCGGTGGGCCGAAGCCCCTTCTCTTCCCTCAACCAAGGGCTCTCGCCGCACATTTCCCACAAACCCCTCCGCGCGGCCCCGCTCGCCCAGGCCGGCCCGGCCGGAGTGCAGCCGCTGCGCACGCGCGAGCTGACGTCACGCGCGCTCCCAGGACCCGACAGAGCTGGCAGGAGCGGTCTCGGCTGCTTCCGCCGCCGCGTCGCTCCGGGGCTCGGCGGGCGGGTTCGCGCTGCCTCCGCGGCGGTGGGGCAGCCGGGGGTCACGGAGTCGTGCAGGGGGCGCGCGGCGGCGCGGCCATGGGACTGCTCCGGCTCTGGTGACAGCGGGGAGCCGAGCGGCCCGGGCCCTGAGCGCGTCTCCCGCGGGGGGCCTCGCCCTCCTGCTCGCGGGGCCGGGGCTCCTGCTGCCTTTGCTGGCGCTGCTGCTGGCGGCGGCGGCCAGGATCATGTCTGGTCGCCGCTGCGCTGGCGGGGGCGCGGCCTGCGCGAGCGCCGTGGCCGAGGCCATAGAGCCGTCGGCCCGCGAGCTGTTCGAGGCTTGCCGCAACGGGGACGTGGAGCGAGTGAAGAGGCTGGTGACGCCCGAGAAGGTGAACAGCCGCGACACGGCGGGCAGGAAGTCCACCCCGCTCCACTTCGCCGCAGGTAAACGCCCGCCCCGCGTCGCCTCCCGCACGCCCCACCTACAGGCTCGGGCTCGCAGGCCGCAAGCCACGCAGCACTGCCCCGGCTCCGACCTCTCCCCGGGACTCTCACCGGGGCCATCTCGCTCGCTTGTCTTGGGGCTCGTGACGAGGGGTGGGGTGAGCGTGCTCTCGAGAAGTTGTTTTTGCAGTGTGGGTTTTTTGTTGCTGTGGTTTGTTGAAGGGGGAGGTGCTTTGTTTTGTTTTACTCTATCAACAATACCTGCACCCGACTTCCGGTCTTGCTACCCTGAAGGGGCCTCTTGCACACAAGAAAGGCTTAGTAGACCTTGTGAATTGAAAGAGCAATTATCTCAACAATTCGCCCGTCTTTGCAAGTTCCACCGTAACTCTTACCAATCCCTTTAGTTCTGGTGGCCTTCGTAAACTGTGAAAATGTAATTCAGGAGTTGTTTTATTGGCTATTGACTCATTAGAGTTAATTGGTTTGGGTTTCTGCTGAGACTAGAACCGGAAATAGGCAGGTTTGGGAGACCTGAGAGCTGAGTGTGGGTGGCCTCTGCCACACACACACACACACACACACACACACACACACACACAAGTTGGGGTGGAAAGTAAGTGAGAGACGAGCTGGAACAAGCACTTGAGCTTGGATCTAGGATTTTGAGACTCATTTTGAGTCGTCCTGAGATTTATTTTAGATAGTTTGAAGTTAGTGTTTTAACTACTGGGCTCTCTTTTATGACACCAGAGTGCTTAAATTTGTTGAGGTATTTAAAATAGCCAACTTATTGACTAAACCTTTTATGCTTCTCATTTTAAGGACAGATGGTATCTTTTTAAACTTTTGGGCCTCATGTAATCGGGAAAAGGTTCTCTTGGCTTGGTAACATTTGCTATAGTGTGCATCAAAGTTGTTTAGCGTTCTGTTAAAAAAGAAACATTTTAAGTTACTCTTGTTCCTCTAGGGCAGGAATGATGGACAGAAGAGCATGAAAAAGATTTCCTTGTTCGCAGACATTGTTTGTACAGTTATACCAATTGTAGTCTATTTGCTTTGACCTGTCCCTGTTTTAAAATGTACGTGCTGTCATGAATAATGTTTCCTTAATCGAGTGCCCTTTGGGGGCCTTTCTAAGAGGGAAAAGTTTGAGAAAACCACAGTTGGGCAAACTGGAAAAGCCTGTGAACACTGGGGAGAAAAGAGCACCGAGGCCAAATCTCTTGTTCACGGTGTTGCCTTTCTTTGGCTAATTTGAATTGTCCTGCTTGACCATTTAGCCAACCTATTTGGCAAATGTTCGCAACCAACTGCTACATAATCCAGAGGGGTAATGTTACTTAGATTATGTTCACTTGATAAAAATAGCCAAGGACTATCGTAGTTGCCACCTTTCAAGAATGTGATGTATTAGTGAGTTCATGTCTGAAAATAGTAGGTTTTAGAGATGTGGGTTTATGGTGTGACCTTGCTGTCCTACACCATTCCTCTCCTCCACCCCAAGGGTAGAATCTAAGGCCTTGCATATGCTAGACAAGTGTTGTACCACTGACTAGGGTAGAGTATACCCAGTCCCTGTCCCAACATTTCAAAGCCTATTTTACATTGTTTGTCCAGATTGAAATGGAAATTGAAATAGCATAGGGACCAATTTACCATTCGTAATTCACCTATATAGACAGTATTAGGGTTGTGAAATTAAGATATAAAATGCAAATCATAAAGTAATTACTAAGGAGGTTAGGGAGATGGCTCAGTGAATAAAGTGTTTGCTTTCAGCCAGCACCCACATTTAAAAAAAAAAGTTGTGTTGATGCATGGGTATAGTCCCAACTCCAGGAGGTGGAAAAAGAAGAATCCTTGGGGTTTACTAGCCAGCCCTTAGTCAGTGAGCCCCGGGGTCAATGCTAAACCCTGTCTTAAAAAGTAAGATGGAGAGCCATAGATGAAGATGCCTGATCTGGCTCCTACACACACATGTGTATATACCATACACCCCACACAGAATAATAAAAATAATTACTAAAGAATTAATATTCAACTACAGTTTTTAAAACCCTGCATTTAAACATTAGAAAATAAGGAATCTTTTGAGAGACGACTTTGTAAATTTTTTTGTTTTTTGTCCAAGACAGGATTTCTCTGTGTAACCCTGTCTTGAACCCTAGCTGTCCTGGAACTCACTTTGTAGACCAGATCCACCCACCTCTGCCTCCCTAGTGCTGGGATTAAAGGCATGGGCTGCTCCCACCACCACCAGGCTGGCTTTGTAAATTTTAAAAATCCAAATTATTAGATTAATGAGGCACTGATTAATTCTGTTTTACTTTGCTGGGTATGGAACCCAATACCTTGACCCCACTAGACACATTTGCTACCCCTGAGCTACATTCTAAGCCCTATTTATTTTTAAGTAATAATGTGGCCACCCACATTTTCTTTGTGGGTAGTGAGTTACCATTTGTGTTTATGTAAGCATACTGTTGGATGCTCTGTCTGCGGTCTGTAGGTAGTGGTGCTTGGTAATTGCCTGAACAAGCAGTTACTTGTGTTTATATTTTATAGGATTGGAGAAGTAACCTCATTAAAAAAAAATAAAGTAGTCAAATAAAGTTTGGAGGTTTAATTGAGCAGGAAAGGCATGCTTTGTCAGTAGGAATGAGAGGTGTGAATGCTACAGAAAATGAAAAATGCTTTTGTCTTTCCCCACATGCCCCTCAAAACAACAGCAAAAAACCCTTAGTATAATTAATCGGTTGTCAGCCCTTATGGGAATTAAGTTATGTTTGTGATTACGATAAATACATAAACAGATATTTTTCTTCTGTTAGCTGCTTTTCATATTGAACTAGGTTACATACTTCTAGATAAATACAATTTTTAAGAAGTCATTTCTAAAAAAAAATAGAAGAAAATGATTTCCTTTTCTATTCTTTCTCTACCCCCATCTACACAGATACAGGTTATGAATCTTTTAAAAAAAATTTTTGGTGACCTCACAGAATGTATACAAACAAGTTGGTTTGGGCTCTAAATTTTTGACATTGAAATCCCATCTGATCAATAACACTATACTGGAAAATAGGTGACAGAGACATTGGGAGAAAGTCATTTTGGTGCTCATCATGATAGAAGAAATGTGTTCCTTGCTATGGAGTAGAACTTCATGGCTGATGAATCTGAAATATTTTAACCACTGAGCCATCTTCAAGCCCCCTGATATACTTTTGGAGTATGCAGAAAGTCAGTATAGGAAAATATAAAATGACTGAGGTTTAAAAAATCTAGGTATGGGCTGGAGAGATGGCCCAGCAATTATGAGCACTGACTTCAATTCCAGAGGACCTCGGTTCAATGCTCAGCACTCATAGGCAGTTCACAACTGTCTGTAACTCCAAGATCTGACACCCTCACACAGACATATATGCAGGCAAAATACCAATGCAAATAAAATAAAAATATGTGAACTGCTTAGAAGGGGATTTTTTCCTATAAGAAGGAAGGGGAATAAGAGCATCTACAATTTATCATACAGGCAATAAATAAAAATCTGAATTTCAGCCAGGTAGTGGTGGCACACACCTTTAATCCCAGTGCTCAGGAGGCAGAGGCAGGCGGATCTGTGTGAATTTGAGAGCAGCCTGGTCTACAAAAACTAGTTCCAGGACATTCTCCAAAGTCACAGAGAAACCCTGTCTCGAAAAACCCAAAAAAGAAAAAAAAACTGCATTTCTAAAGACGAAAGAAGACTGGACCATGTTCACATGTGCAAGACTCTTGAAGAAGAGAGAATGGATATGGCTGGTCTAGCTTCAGCTATAGTATGAAAAAGGTTACAAGGAGTTAAGTAGTGTTTTCTGTTCAGCTGTAGATCTACTTGGAAGTATCAGAACATGGGGTTGCTTAACATCTTTCAGATGCATACAGAATTTATGTATAGAGTAGGCAATTTGCCTGAGTAGGATAGTAGTTGTCTCAATTCAAATTTTTGACAGGTCATCTACAAACAATATGATGATATCTGTCATTTTTATTGTTTGTTGAAACAATCCTATTGGAGAAATGGCTTAGCAGTTAGGAACACTGACTGTTCATCCAGACGACCTGGTTCAATTCCTAGTACCCACTTGGCAGCTCACAGCTATATGTAACTCCTCCAGTTCCAGAGACCTGATACCCTCACGCAGACATACATATGCAGGCAAAGTGCCAGTGCACATAAAGTAAAAATAAATAAATTATTGAAAATCTCAAGAACTAGCCAGATTTGTTGACAAATGCTTTTAATCCCAGCAATTGGTGGGAAGAGGCAGGCTAATTAATGTCTTGAGTTCAAGGCCAGCCCAGTCTACAGAGTGAGTTCTAGGACAGATAGGGGTACACAGAGAAACCCTGTCTTGGAAAAAAAACAAAAAACTTAAAACCAGCTGGGCAGTGGTGGCACACACCTTTAATCCCAGCATTCCAGAGGCAGAAGCAAGTGGATCTCAGAGTTAGAAGCCAGCCTGGTCTACAGAGCAAGTTAAAGGACAGCCAGGACTTAAATAGAGAAACCCCGTCTCAAAAAAAAAAAAAAAAAATCCCAAAAACCTTTAATTCCATTTCTATTTTTGTTTTATTTTATTTTGAGACAAGGTTTTTCTTTGTAGCCTTGACTGCCCTGGAACTCACTCTGTAGACCAGGCTGACCTCAAACTCACTGAGATCGCCTGCCTCTGCCCTCTGAGTGCTGGGATTAAAGGCATGTACCACCACTACCTCGCACCATTTCTTTTTTAAAAAAATATTTTTATTATTTATTTATATGTATATATGTGTAAGACTGTATATGTGCGTGTACCTGAGATTAGGGCCATCCCCTGCAGCTGGAGTTACAAGCAATTGTAAGCTACTTAATGTGGGTGCTAGGATTTGAACTTGGGTCCTCTGCAAGAACAATAGATGTTCTTAACCACTGAGCCATCTCTCCAGACCTTTTATACCATTTCTAACATCATAATTATGAGTGATGCACATATACTCTTTGTCCATTACTACAGTTGTGCCTCACTATTTTCAGGATGGAGTTTTGATTCAGGAGTTAAATCTTACAACAGAAACTCCAGTGCTGATTAGTTATTAGTCTGCTCAACAGTTCAGTCTTTGATTCACTACATCTTGTAATGTAAGATCTTAGTTACAGCATTTGTCTTGCCTCTTCCTGGATCTAGAGTGGAGAACTGGCTT